TAGCGCTTCCCGGAGAACTTTCTGTTGGGACTTATGCACAGATGTCGTCTGCCGCTGCAAAGAGACAAAGCTGGTCGTAGCCCCTGAGAGAAGAAGCTCGCTGTTCTCCCACTGTAAGACGGAGAAATAATAGTATGAGTTATACTTAGGGTTTTCCAAGCCGAAATCATATTTGTTCAGTTTTTGTACCGCTAATATTGAGCTGTGCGGTTGTGGTGAGGCGACTTCTACTGCTACCTTTAAGGGGTTCCTAATAAGGTCGTAATAGTTAATGCCTATTGCAGCGAGCAAATAACAAAAAGTCCACTAGCTTAGTTTAATTTCTAAATAGCCATACGTTGCTGGGTTATATCAGATCATCACATAAATGCCGTGCAGTCTCACATAACCTCGGTTGAGATATAGGCTACATTTAATGTTGTGTCAGATGGTGCTTGTGATTTTCGAAGTTACGATGTGGTTGTGAGCGTGAAGGCAGCACCACGTAAAACAGTAACGTAGCAGGTGGGTGGGTCAACGTGTGGAAGCCCGGTTCTACCAGGAAAATTAAACAAATAGGCCTAAATCACAACATATGCAGGATTTAAAAAATTATAAAAGCAATAAAATACTCATGCTATGTCAAGATTATGAGCGAAAATTTCGACTCAACAAGTTACTATCTTATAATTTGACTTTAGGCTTACTAAAACAGACTTACTAAGTTTGTACTCCTCTGACTATAGGTGAGAGTGACAAGAGGAGAAAAATGTGTTTATATGATTTCTTCAACTTGTAGACAGATAGTCAAGATCAGGAATCAGTAAACAAACAAAGTTACTAATTCAAAATGATGAGATGGTAAGCAAATATTTTGAGATGGTAAGTCAGAATTTTGACTTGCCAAGTTAAAAAAAAGGCATGTCAACATTTTGTTTTTGTTTGTTTCTGACTTAAGCCTAATGGACGGAAAGTCACAATAAGATATAATAGCCTAAGTCAAAGTTATAAGATTGATGTCACAATGTCATGTAACCTTTTCCACAGTGCTCCAGTTAATCAAATTTCAGATTTAACCCAACCACTTTATTTCTGTCTTCAGACCTCTAACCATCTAATAGGCATGTTGAGAGATGTAAATGTTTATACTCTTTGAATGATATGTTTATATTACACAATGCTGTTTTATTGGAATAAATATGGAGAAAGGAATAAGATGTCTTTTACATCAAAGATATTTTGGCACTAGAAGTTGTGTATAAGCTAATGTTGTCCTTCCTAGCATCATACAACACATTTTAAGACATGTTTCATTTGGCTTTTTGCTGTGTTGCTGTTATTGTACTAATAGATTCTATTCTAGAAACAAATCATGAAAATCAGTTATGTATTTTCACAAATGTCTAAAATGTGCTTTGGACTCTTATTATGTTTACTTTTAACCTCATGCCACATTCATGAACACTTTACAGAATTATTTTGTAAATTATGTCAAACAAATTAAATAAATTCTCTTTTGATAAAAAAAGGCTGTTAAAACTTTCTGCAATAACTTGTTTCTTTATTTACTTATGTGTGTTTATCATCCCATATACAGTATGTTTAGGCAAGTAGCCTACAGTTTATAGGCTATTGAAAGGGAATAGAAAATATGCCATTAGAAATATCTCAATTTTAAAAGGCACAATAGTGATTATTGAGAATTCTACAAGCCCATTCATAAACAAGTCCACATCCAATACCAATTTAACCAAAATAATGGCATTTAATTAAAAACCCACTAAAATCAGATCACCTTAAAATTCCTAACTTGGACAGTAGGGTTAAGATCGTAGGGTCATTAGTCATACATTAAGTATTCCCTTACCACGTGGTTCAAGGTCAAAGTCCTGTCTCAGGTAAAGTATCTTGGGTTGGGTGAAACAGTTACTGCGGCAGACTGAGGAGTTTTTTTTTTATTTGCGCACTGAGGAGTATTATTTTAATTAGCGCACTTCACCTGTCCGCCTCAAGAGGCAGAGTGTGGCGCATCAGCAGATCAGCTTCTTGAGACGCCCGTTCACCTGAGACGCACTTGTCTCATTACATTGCATAATAGCAACACGCCATCATGGTAAGTGCGATTTTAAATGTAATTCATAACATTTTAGATTTCTTGGTTTGAAAAACTGCCCTAACCTATATTACAAGGGGGGGTGGGGGGGTGAAAGTGGATCGTGCATGTGAGATTTCTCCACCGTTACCGTCTTTTGTCTCGCTGTAGCCTACTGTTACAATAAAATATTTTATCAGGAAAATTAATATTCCTGCTTTCAGACAAAAAATATAGGTACGTAGGTTTCCACGTTTTCTAATGCATTCCTGCACTACAAACGCCTAATCCTCCTCCCACATAACTCTTCTAAATCAGCTTAGATACCATTTCTTGACCACTGGTCACTGGTTCCACACGAGCTTACCAGTTTATCAACTTGATTTTCTGGTCCTATGTGCCGCTTTTATATTACATGAATACAGTGCTTCTGGTTCTACAGATCGTTTCATATAAAGTGATAAATTCATCATGTGTTACATAAAAGGAAGCCACCTATAATATCTCTATTTAATATACCACAAAATTGTTTTACATAAAATATTCCATGACACATAACATCAATGTGAATGTGTTTTTAAAGAGACAGCACACAGCAACATGCATGACCTAGATAATCCTATCTCTGTACAGTAGCCTAATCCTGTACAGTAGACAGTTTTATGTCGCAGGAGAAAATGCATGGGTTCCGGTCAAATAAATGATGGACTGAACCTCAGTCAGACAGACTATAACAGAAAGACTGGTGTAACAATGAAAACGTTTCATGCTAGGGAGAGGGGGATTATTTGAAGCAGTTTGTGCTGATCTGTAGCATCTGGCAGTTCATTGAAAGGCTATCAAAAAAAAACATTTAGCATTTGAGGAAATCTTAATTAGCACCAGTTGTTTTGGAAAACCTGTTTGTCAGAAGGGCAAGATTCAACTTCTTTAATCCAAATCTTCTTTCTCTGCACCCTAGCGTGAGTGCATCTCCATCCACGTCGGTCAGGCTGGTGTCCAGATTGGCAATGCCTGCTGGGAGCTTTACTGCTTAGAACATGGGATCCAGCCGGACGGACAGATGCCCAGTGACAAAGCCATCGGTGGAGGTGATGACTCCTTTAACACCTTCTTCAGTGAGACTGGAGCCGGAAAGCACGTCCCCAGAGCTGTCTTTGTGGACCTGGAGCCCACTGTCATCGGTAAACTCTCAGAAATGTAGACATTATAGTTGTCTCTTGATTTTATTTAGTCAAACCCTCAAGTCATTTGTGATTCACCTTATCGCTTCAGATGAGGTGCGCACTGGTACCTACCGCCAGCTGTTCCACCCTGAGCAGCTGATCACTGGCAAGGAGGATGCTGCCAACAACTACGCCCGTGGGCACTACACCATCGGCAAAGAGATCATTGATCTGGTGCTGGACAGGATCCGCAAACTGGTGGGTGACTTGATCCATTGCCAATTTTGATTCCTAATTTCAAATGAAATATTACATAATGAAATAATACATAATTGCTTCTCATATGTGATAACTGTTTCTCCCTCTCTGTCCCCAGGCTGACCAGTGCACTGGCCTTCAGGGCTTCCTGGTCTTCCACAGCTTCGGAGGTGGCACCGGCTCTGGTTTCACCTCCCTGCTGATGGAGCGTCTGTCTGTCGACTACGGAAAGAAGTCCAAGCTGGAGTTCTCCATCTACCCAGCTCCCCAGGTGTCCACGGCTGTGGTGGAGCCCTACAACTCCATCCTGACCACCCACACCACCCTGGAGCACTCTGACTGTGCCTTCATGGTGGATAACGAGGCCATCTACGATATCTGCCGCAGGAACCTCGATATTGAGCGTCCTACTTACACCAACCTGAACAGGTTGATCAGTCAGATCGTGTCCTCCATCACTGCTTCCCTTCGTTTCGATGGTGCTCTCAATGTTGATCTGACAGAGTTCCAGACCAACTTGGTGCCATATCCCCGTATCCACTTCCCTCTGGCCACCTATGCCCCTGTTATCTCTGCTGAGAAGGCTTACCATGAGCAGCTCTCAGTGGCTGAGATCACCAACGCCTGCTTCGAGCCAGCCAATCAGATGGTCAAATGTGACCCTCGCCACGGCAAGTACATGGCTTGCTGCCTTTTGTATCGTGGTGACGTGGTGCCCAAAGATGTGAATGCTGCCATTGCCACCATCAAGACCAAGCGCTCCATCCAGTTTGTGGACTGGTGCCCCACTGGTTTCAAGGTGGGCATCAACTACCAGCCACCCACTGTAGTTCCTGGTGGAGACCTGGCCAAGGTCCAGAGGGCTGTGTGCATGCTGAGCAACACCACTGCTATTGCAGAGGCCTGGGCTCGACTTGACCACAAGTTTGATCTGATGTACGCTAAGCGTGCCTTTGTTCACTGGTATGTGGGTGAGGGTATGGAGGAGGGAGAGTTCTCTGAGGCCAGAGAGGACATGGCAGCTCTGGAGAAGGATTATGAGGAGGTTGGAGTCGACTCTATTGAGGGTGAGGGAGAGGAGGAGGGGGAGGAATATTAAAAGGGACATAAAAGCACAAGCTAAACAGGAAATTAATAAATTTGTTCTTAAATACATTTCAAACAGTAATGTTTGTCTCTTCTTTACCAGTTTGGCTATGTTCAGAGTAAAATCATTAAAATTCAGGTTTTGCTCTGTCCTTAATAAAATTCCTGTAAAATCAAGTTGTTTCTGTGTTATTTATTGAACCTTCTTTAAATTGTTTTGTGAATACCGACAAATTAAATAGTTTTATTTTTGTCCTTGAAATACTAAATTCAGTGCCTCCAGATACAGCACGGTACAGCACAAAAACCTTATTACCAAAAGCCTAATGCATATTCAGTAACTTTAAAATATCTGAAACAACTTTAAAACAAGAAGTGTTAATAAAGAAGAGGAATGATTTGCACAATCAATTCAGAGCTCTTTTCTGACAGATACCTTTATTCTGAAACACAGCAGAAAAAGCTACCTATATCCAAAATATTTATTTTCATTATGAAAACACTATCTTGCATCCCTGACACATGATATATAATTATGCATGTTATGATGCCAAAATAGTAAGCTGTGACTAGTTTTGATAAGATGTCATTGTGATTCAAATCATGGATTTGGCATAATTTATTTTAGAATAGGTATAATAGATAAGCGGTTGACGATGGATGGATGGATGGATATAATAGATAAGCTGGCAACAAACAAACACCAGTAAACCGGCACAATGGCTTTGAGCATGTGCAAACATGGACATAAAGTGCAAACCTCAGGAACAAGAGCAAAACAAAATCACATCCTTTGGGTCGGTCAATAATCTGCATGATCCATGCTATCTACCATCATCATTGTGATAATTGTGTAACAACATGTTGGGGAGGTTTTCACATGCATTACGTTGTGCAAAATGGGGAAATTACTGATTGTTTGGCTTCCAAGATTACAGACCCACTGGCAACCAGTGCAACGGGCATACTAACTGTTTAAGGGTAGCATGTTTCCTGTGAATATGTAAAATTTAATGTCACCCTACACAGTAGGGCCTGACAAGTGTAGAATGTTGTTTCGGTATGCTTTTCACTCTAATGTAAAATATGTGCATTCACCTTTATGAGTCAAAAATATATACACACAGAGCTATTTTAATCGCTCAGGTAGCAACTGTGTGTCTTTCTTAATAAATATCAACAAATAACACCCAAGCATTAGAATTTCCAGCAGTCATTGGAACCTTGCATTTCTGGGCTAATTTAGTTGTTTGGTGCAGACAAACAATCATTTAAGGATATTAGCTGCAGAAAACAAAAAGATACCGAGGCCAACAATAGCCTCAATAGTCCATGATGCAATGCACCCACAAGACCTGTTGCATTTTTCACAAAGGGGCACTAGTAGCACTTTGTTTTAACTCCTGCTGGCATTGAAGTGATGCTGAGAGAACACAACCTGGGAAATGCAGCTCAGCATTTCAGCAGCAAAAGACAAGACTGGTTTGGGAGGGACCAGGCAATCCAAAAAGATTAATTACACCATTTCATAATTCACAATAACTGCAGGAATTCAGACAGTAACAGAAAAAGATTGGAAGAGTACAGTGTCAGTGGGGTTTGCCTTAATAGCCATTAGATGATTAAAGGCTATACATATTATAAATACAGATAAGTCTGACTGAAAATCAAAGCAAGTATTAACTCTAGGCTCCCAGTACATCCCTGCCAATGACTCCTAAGCTATGTTTCTGAATGAGTGAGAGTGGATCTATGCAGACAGCATGCAGGCCTGACGCAGCTCTCGTCCGTACAGGAGGAAGCCCACAGCGGTGCGCAGGTCCTCCAGGTCCAGGTTAGACAGGAAACTCCTCTGAAGCTCTGCCTCCACCACGTTCCCACTGAGTCCACTACAGCTCTTCAGGAGAACCACAGCAGACTGGCACAGCAGCCAATCAGCCAATTTCGACATACCAATGCTGTCCTTATTGACCAGGGCCTTCCGCCCCCAGAGGCTAAGATGTAGCATGTTAGCCGCCACACGAGCACTGGGACGCTGCAAAGTAACAATAACATGTATGTATGTATGAGTATTGTAGTATCAAAGAGTTGGTTAATTATTAATATTACCAGGCTGCTGGTAGACTACTATCAGACATAACAAATGAGCAATTGTAAAATGTGTCCATATCTTTATCAAACAGAATGATAGAACAATTAAGTTAAGTTTAAAGCTGAATCAAATAAATTTTTTATATATTATCAATGTGCAAAGAAAAACACTATGTCTTAATCAGGTAGACAGGAACACAACTACAAAGTACTAGTCTAGAATTTTCACATAAGCACATAGTATCCTAACAAATCCCTCACAATCCCTGTTATACCTTGCTTGGGTTCCTCCTGAGGAGCAATCGGATCACTAACTGCACATCAGTTGGAACATTGGAGGGCAGAGGTGGAAGCTGCTTCTCCTGGTAACTCCTGCTCTCCAGTCCCACTGCTCGATAGAACGGGTTCTGCAGGCCGAATATCTCATACGAGATGGCACCCACAGCCCAGGCGTCTGCCTTGCTATAGTCAATCACTGCACCACACCCTGGAACTGCAGTGGCTACCTTTGGGTAGACACATTATGAAAATTATATTTTAAATGTGTCATTATTTAAGTAATATTATGGTTAACCGCAATGACTTCTTATATGTAGAACGTATAATTCCGTAAATTTGAGCTACTGCCACCTCTGGTAATAACCATGGCGGTCATTTTACTCATACTCAGTATATGCTCTTACTACATGTACACAAATAAAAGAACATTTTTATGATAGCACATGTGTATTGGTGCCATATATTTGAGGGTTACTTAAACTAAATCCCATTTCTCTAGTGGAAAGTTCATTTTTTAAAAGGATATTTTGCAGCTAAAACACATAATATGATATATCTGAGTGTTTTAGACATGTATTGCCAAAGGCCTCAATATACATTCTTCTTTTACTCTCTACAACTGATAATGATCTGCTTCTTCTTTATTAACATTCGACCAAGTTCAAGTTGAATATGGGCCAGTAAGAGACAGTTTAGCCACTGCTGGGACATTCTACTTAATAACAATAAAGAGACACTTAAGCCTACCTCAGGGGCCATAAGGGAGGCATTCCCTCCTCTGTTGACCCACATGCTGTTGAAGGGCAGATGTAGGCTACAGTCACTCTGGGCCAGGCAGCAGCCAAAGTCTGTAATCACTAAACGAGGGCAACCATCTGCACAAAAGCAAAATCAACATTTTTACATAAAACTGATGAAATCTCAAATTGATAGCTGAATTGTTCTCTTGCTGACTGAATATTTCTCTGACCAGAGTCAAACTCCAACAGCACGTTGTCTGATTTGAGATCCCTGTGAGCAACACCCTGTCTGCACAGATGGTCGACCCCCTCGAGGAGCTGCAGCACCATCAGAGAGCCCTGCCTGTGGCCAGGAGGGGACACTTCCAGGTACTGTCGCAGTGTGCAGGGGTAGCTATAGCAAAGAAGAAGACAGGATGCTAGTGCTACTGAATTGGATGCGTTCAGTTTTTTGTATACTCCACCTTAAAGTTATATTCTGTCACATTCTGTCATTACCTCTCTTTATAGTAGTTTAAATTTTTAGTGGGGGTCCTGCCATTCCCACACGGGATTCAAATCACATGCTGTGTAATCCAGCGTTACGGCTTGTAATTTTATCACACTGATTTCAGCCTCACTGTTCACTCTCCTAACACTACATCAGAGCAGTATTCAGTTACTGCTAACTGAAACCTAACATTTACCTCTGCTCCTATTTTGCATTAAAAGCATTTAATAGGCAAACCAAAGTTACAACTGACAGCAATTGCTGTCAAAAATGCCTCTTCAAAGTGAGACAACTGTTACTTTTCTGCGTTTGATAATAAAGATATTTTAAATATTGTAAGGAGTAGTGGTACAATAAGGTGCAGCTGCAGCGAGTTGATAGAATAAGAGTTGCAGGCAACAACACCTTCTCAGCAAGGTAACCACCTTTACTCAGCTCTGTTTTTGTGAGAAAATCTACTCGCAACATGTGCTGCATAAAATTAAATAACGAAAACAGATACACAAGCTGCTCTTAGATTGTATTTCTCCAAGGAGTATTGCTGGAGTATTAAACTGCACTTGCTGTTACGGGTGTCACCAAAACAACCTAAGAATCGACCTAAGAATTACTGACATTTGTTTTTAAAGCATTCTAATTTACTTGAGTTGATCAACAGGGTGAAAGACGGCAGGTCTTACTTCTTCATGACCAGGAAAAGAGTGCGGTTGTTGCCCAGACCGGCAGGGTTAAGCCTGGCTGGCAGCACATCTGGATACTCTTCTTGGGCACCTGGTAACAACGGGACGTCCGCTGTGAAAGCCCGATACACTCTGATCACATTAGGGTGTGCTGAAATTCTTTTGGGTAGGACTCCAAAATGTCTGCATTTAGAGAGATCACAAACATTTATGAGCATCATTCCTTCACCCTGTTCAGCACTGCAGGACTAGTAATGAACTATGAATGCACTGTAGGTATAATACTTACCCATCCACAGTGATTTGTTCTTTTTCCTGCTTTAAGGCCAGGGGCCCAGCAGGCACCAGCTCCTGTGACATGGATTTTAATATCGCCTCGCTTGACGATCCTGCCTGCAAACAATTGGCATCAAAAAAATACCTGTCAGAACTGATCATCTCTTTTCCGACATAGGACTAATGGGAAAGTGTGGAATTTTGTAGAACACACACCCCAAAGTTCCACATCATCTTGATAGCCAGAGGGAAAGTTCTTAGTGAGCAGCATGTCAGAGATCGAGCCGTCTCTCCTTCTTCTTCGTCTTCTTTCAGTTGCACCAGGGAGCTGTTGATCTCTTTTGGAGGGGCGAACGGAGCTGCAGCCTCGTATACAGCAGCATTCGAGCCTTTCCCAATCTGATTTCCAATAATGTAATCTTCCAGTTTATATCCAGAGGGGAAGGGCTTGAGAGGACTGTGAAATCTTTTCTTGCTAAACACTGCCTGCAGATTGGGGGAAATATTTTTTAAGATGCAGAAAGGTAGTTGTGTGTGCACATCAAATCTCTATGCCAGGTGACTGATAACAGATTAGACAAATAGAGAGTGGATTACAGCTCCTAAAATGCAGAGAGACAGTAGTTCAAATGTAGTCCAATAAAGTTTTGGGAGCTTTATTCCAGTGATGTCTCATGGGCACATATGTTAGGTCAGCAACCACAGGAGCTTATCTGGTTTATATATCTGTAATGTCAAATGCAAATACAAGCTTAACCATGTCAACTGGCAATGGCTACAAAGGTGTTATCCTACTAGGAGCTGAAGTAAGAGGGGTATGGACAGGATTAGTGCAAAGCCGTGAACAACTTTTATCTTTTAAAAAGTTTCAGTCCATGACACTATGCAACAATCTAATAATAATAATAATAATAATAATAATAATAGCTGTCTGTGGTGGAAAAAGCACTATACTTAGAAGTATAGCCTTACTAGTTATACCACAGTGTAAAAACATTTAATTGCAAGAAAATGTCATGGATTAAAATGTGTACTAAAGTAGAAGTACTAGTACTATCAGCAAAATATACTCTTCTTCAAAAACTTTATTCACAGTGTTATATTACTATGTAGCTTATTTATAGATATTGAATTACATTAAATAGTAAGCAATATTTTACTGTTGGAGTTAGTAACACTAAATAGTTTTTAGGTAGTTTAGCCTCTAACATTGTACAGTGGTGTAGTAGAGAAGAAATATAAGTAAGATAAAATGGAAATACAAAAGTAAAGTGCCCAAAAACTACTTTAGCAGAGCACTTAGGAACAGCAGTGTATCAGGTCCATTACCTGGATCTCCTGACAAGTCGCAGCACTCTTTCTGTCATCCTCAAGCTGCTGTTCGATAAGCCCTACGCCGAGACCAAAAGCCAAAAACACGGCCCTGTTTCGCGGGGACCCACCGCCAAACCTTCTCCTGAAGCCGGCGGACTGAAGCTGAGCTGCCAGGCCCTTCAAAGATGTCGGTAGTAGCGGTACCGAGACGGCAGGAAAGCCTGAGGCTGAACGGTGCGGGCCGATGGGCCTACACGCAAACGGTCAGCTCGGAGCTTTGCTACGACTCGGGCCCCCGGTTTGAGGAGACCCAGCTGAAAGACCGACCGGCCCAGCTCCAGCCCCCGGCTAATAGCGTGTTTCACAGACATAATTTACCCACAAAGGTAACTTAAGCTGTTTATTGAGTCCGCCTGTGTCTAAGCTTTTGTCTGGTCGCCGCTGTCAAGGGTTTATGTAAACACTTGATACTGCGCATGTGCATGACTCTCTGACGGCCTACGTATTTTTATTTAACTTACTCTTATTTTTCTCATTTACCATCGCTATACCATATAGTCTATGCACTATACATCAAAATATTACTATGTACATGTGTGACGCACACAACATGTATAAATTTAATTAAACAATATATTTTTTGTCACCAAAGTCCTCCAATGCTTTTGCATTAGGAATATGTACTCCACTACAGACAGTAGGGGGCAGCAGAGGGGGACTGTTTTGATAACGTAGCAGTTGGCAGTATGTTTCCTGTGTTATTCATTTCTCTTGTTTTACAGGTTTTATTATCTATCCACATGCGCTGTGTCTGGGGCCTGTAACACAGGTAACAGCTACAGTTGGAGGGAGAAAATCGTTAGGAAAAATAGTTACAAGGTACAATCGGTCTGGAGTTTTTTGTTTGTTTGTTTGTTTGTTTTCGCTGTCCTTTATTTAGGATACAACATATACAAACAAACCGGCATCTTATCACATCTTATATATCCTTACATCCTTTACATCAGGTTAAGCAAAGAACTGTCGGTCTGGAGTTGTAATTATGCAAAGCCTTAATAGTTTTTGACCACTAAGGGCACAAGACTCCAAACAAACACATAAAACAAACAGACAACAGCCAAGTCCATTTTTTCCAGAGCCACAGAACACTAATTAACAGCTAGTCCATAGGCTATTCTATGAGCTATCAGATAATGTGGGAAAATGTGCTGAAGAGTGGCCCATGGGAAAAAACAAAAAGGAAAATCCACATAAAAAGTAGCAACAGACCCTAGCTGCTGACAAGATGGCAGGCGTCAAGGTTATTTGCGTCAATCACGAGCCAATTATTTTCGTAGGATGGCGGCAGCATGACCAGTACCAATACTGTCCATTTGGTAACGTTTCAATGACCATACAATATCATATACTGTGTAACTTAAACAATTTCTAATTTCTGATTGCTCAGTTTTACTGTTAACTTTATTCATTTAAATCCTATAGTAAAATAATTGTTTACCAGACAAGAGATCAAGATCAACATATACTGCATGGGTCAAATTATGTGGACAATTTGGGTTTGTAAACATTCTGACAATAGTGAGAAATACCATCACAATTACACAGCGTCACAATGCTTTCTTTTTTCCAACCTATAGGACAAACCCAAACATCAACATTATTTAAAATGCAATTCAATTTTAGGATGAAAAACTACTAAACAATATGTCAAAATGGTTGCCTGGTATCAACTGTACATTTTTCCTGTGAAGATCATTCATCCAAGGTCTAATTTATCAACTTATGCTTGATAGTTGAACAAGTAAAAACAAGGGCCTTTCCAAAAGTGCACAAAATATGTGGACAGGGTCCAATCAAATCATACTGTAATTAAAACCCTTTACAAGCAATCCTGCTGACCCTGCTATTTAGTAGGTCAAATAAAGGCATTATACCTTAACAAACAGTTAGCCAGCTAAGGCTGGACATTGTTTTGTCAGTAAGCCACATCAGTATTCAAGTCTGTGTTTAGGGTATCCATCCATCCATCCATCCATCGTCAACCGCTTATCCTGCGTACAGGGTCGCAGGGGGGCTGGAGCCTATCCCAGCTGACATCGGGACAGGTCGCCAGTTCATCGCAGGGGTGTTTAGGGTAATACAACAAATAAACAACAGCAGAGTCATTGTTTTGGACAAGAAGCCATTTTTTCATTTTAGACGTGTGTCCAAAACCAGTCAATGCCCTTGATCAAGAAACTGGTCTATATCTATGTTTTTTTCCCAGCACTGCACAGTGGCTGCCCACTGCTCCAAATTATGAGGGGTTAAATGCAGAGAATTAATTTTGCATACATTGTACTGTGTATAATTCTATATGTGGCAATAAAGTTGAATTGATTTTTTGATTTGGAAATCAACTGCATGAGGAAAAATGTAGTAGCCTATCAGCATCGAAGATGTATCATGTAGGTCAAGCATGAACACACGACTCATCCTTATTGTCACTGTCGATGGTTTATTCATTCATTCAGTGCTTGTTGTAACATTAGGAAAGTATTAAAAGTATTAAAGAATTAATGAAAATCAAATAAGCATAAGCTTACAGGAAATCTTAAATCAAGAAATGACTATCCTGGCTCTACATAGAGTACCCCAACAACATAAACTGCAATTAAACTCAGTGTGTAAAGTTGACATTCAGTACTATTAAAAACAAAGAAAGTTATTAGTAATATTAAAGCCATTAAAAATATTGTGTTGAATTCGCTGCTCAGCAAGTATTTTGGTGACTGTTCACGGTGTGTCATTGTCGATAAGCCAGCTGATCCACTGGACATAGTTTCTCACTTTGGTGTAGACTCCAGGAAAGTATGGGTTCGCGCAGCTGACACCCCAGGAGACAATGCCCTCGAAGTACCCATTGCAGATTAGGGGACCACCGGAGTCACCCTGTGGATAACCAAGACAAATCAGCATATCAACATATTTTGGTATGAGATATTTACAATTCCAGTCTGGTATACACTAGTTTACAGTATTATTTTTGCAAATGGTTCTAGAGATGCCAACGTCTGACAAGGTCAAGCCACTTTGGTCCAGACTGAAATATCTCAAAACTAGATTTGTCATTGAAGTTTGTTCAGACATTCATGGTCCTGAGAAGATTATCATACTTACTTCAGGGACACAAGGACTTTGCCTGTAGTGTCATGAGGTTAGTATTTAGTGAAATGTCTCAACAACTAGCAGATGGATTGCCATGAAATTTAGTAAAGACATCAATGTCCCCCTTGAGATGAAGTGTAAATCACTTTCATCCCCAACATTTAGATTTGTCCAATACTTTTATGACTGATGACACAATTCCCAACAGCCTTAGCTGAAATTTATTAGTGTAAATTAGTAACTGCTGGCGTGCTAACTTGCTAAACTATAATTGTGAACATTATAACAGCTAAATATCAGCATGTTAGTATTGTCATTGCGATAGTGACTTTAGCATGCTAATGTAACATTTAGACTCACAGAGCCAATAGCATGGCTGTAGGCATTTAGTCTTGTTCATTGTAATTAAAGTAGTTACTAAAAGTGGATACACACCTGCAGAGCAATTAAGCTAGTGATAATGTGTAATTCAAAGGACATCATCGCGTAATAAGGGCATGTAATAAAAAAAACAATAAAAAGGCATATAATAAAATTACGTATAATACACAAGACACCATTATGCAACATTATTAGGTTTTAATTAAAGCATTCAACAAAAGCCTCCAATACCAGTCATGCAGCATATGCATCAGAAATAAGAACAGAATTCTGTACCTGGCAGGAATCTTTGCCACCCATCGCAGATCCAGCACACACCATGTTTGCAGTGATCCTCCCCCAGTAGTAATACGAGCAGTAAGGTACTATTCTCACATCCACAGCACGTAACACATTGGAGAGGTAGTAACTGTAAGTCTGTGTCACACCCCAGCCACTCACTGTGCACAAATCATTAGAAAGTGGAGGACTGTCTTCCTCACGCAGAGCAGCTGGCTGGACATTGGCATTCAGCTGTGCCGGCTCACTCAGCTGTAACACAAACCAAAAGTTACAGCACCACAGCTTGGACACGTTAACCAAACAACACCCTATCCTCTTGTTCTTAATGGACAAACAATGCTGTTTGTCCATTAAGAACAAGAGGATAGGGTGTATGCATGTGTCAGGAGCTCAACGTATCTGTTATTTCAAGCTACTACTCTTCTGCCTACCTTAATGAGCATGATGTCATTGTTGAATGTCTTGTAGTTATAGTTGTGGACATAAATCTTTGAGACATTAAAGACCTGTTCAAATCCTTCTGTTGTCTCCAGGTTGTGTTCACTTAACACCACCTTCATCAAACTGCTCCTAGTGGCCAAACAGACAGAAGGAGAGTAAGAATTTTCCCTTTAATTGTAAAATGCAGTGAAATGTAAAAATGTACACCTTAGATGTCACAAAACATTCTGTCGTCATTATACATGAACACATTCAATTATCTTACCTCATCTCAAAGCTAGTGGTGGAATGTAACTAAGTAAAAAAGTACTGTAGGCTACATAGGTGCAAATTTGATGTAGGCCTACTTGTATTACTTGTACTTGTCATGCCACTTGTCAATGTCCTTGTCAAACACATTTTACATTTACACTGACAGCTTTAGTTACTTTACAAATTAAAGTTTTTGCACACAAAACATATGCCAATGTATCGTTTAAGATGTTTACATGTTTACACAATGTTTACGTTCCACCTCTCTCTGGTTCAGTTCAGAAGTTCTGAAGAAGCCTCTTGGATGAGGGGCGAAACGTCTTCAAGTAGCCTATCTTTAACCCAGTCTAGTTGCCCTTGATTTTATCCCACTTTGGATAAATTTGACCTGGATGACTGAGAATCTTCACAGACATGACAATGTACAGCTATGTACAGCTAATGTACTACAACAATAAGTTGGCAACTATTTTGACATATTGTTTAGTAATTTTCCATCCTAAAATTCAATTACATTTTTAATAATTTTGAGGTTTGTCCTATAATTTTGAAAAAAGAAAATTTTCTGACTCTCTGTAATTGTGATGGCATTTCTCACCATTTTCAGAATTTTTACAAACCCAAAAATCAGTTGATGGAGATCATCAGCAGATTAACTGATAATGAAAATAATCATTTGTGGCAGTCCTACACAAAATTATAAATCAGGTCCAACTCCAACCAATCATGTAAACTCCTGCTTTTATAAAAATGCAGAGTATTTCTTATGATGTAATATACAATAATAAATCAGTCACAGGGGCCATTTTTCAGGATTTTCCTTGTAACACTGTGTTTTCAATGCAATACTTTTACTTGTAATTGAGTGGTTTTACAGGGAGGTAAGGTGTACTTTTACTCTCATTTAAGTAATACTTCCTCCACTACTGCTCAAAACATCAGTGTTTATCGCTCTGTCTAGTGTCAGTACTTACGGTCTCCAGCAGTGGGCAGCAGACACCACCCATTGAGGGTGCACTAAGGTTCCTCCACAGTAGTGTTGCCTGGTCTCAGACTGCAGTGATGCCTGATATTTGATAGAGTATGGTGGGACCTCCTGACCTCCAATAATCCTCTGTGCAAATGTCTCTGTAGATTTGGAACAAGCGCCCTGTGATTTATTTTGGTTTACAAAAAAGTGTAATTTATTTCATATTTAATGCTCTATGGTGTTTATAATCTTAATGCACTACAGAAGAGAGGTTGAAGACCGTCTTAAGGCCATGTCAACAGAGATTTAGTATATCTCGATGTACATACATTTAGGTTTTCACCTATGTCAGCTAATGCTCTGTGAAAGTCCCTTTCAACATGGTTACATCTTGAGTCTAGGACACCTTTTGTTATGCACCTAGGAATTAAAAGTTTGTGGTTAAGGAACTTACCTGATACTGAGAAAGCCAAAAGCAACAGTACAGTAGATCTTCGCAGTGGAGCCATACTTTTACTTTTCATCTGTAGAGCAGAAACTTTTAGCAGCTTTTATACACAGTATGTAATGTGCCAATTAATTATATTACAACCCTAATAAAATCCAATTATCTTTGTGTGAAATTATAAGTTAATCTTGTTGCTGATTGGTAACTGGTCTATTAATGAACTGCTTAAATTGTTAATATTTCATTATCATTCTCAACAGTTTTACCTAAAACTAAAGTACTAAATTCTAATACAATTTTAACATGTATTACACAAACTCAACTAGTAATAGAATTTTGTTGTTTTTGCTGAAAACACTATCTTCCCCTGATATGTGGGCAAAATATTAATCATTAAGTTTGAACGGTTACAATTAGAATTACCTTGGACTTACCTGTAAATCCAAACACAGCAACCTTCAGAGGATCTCCAACTGGTGGGATCACTGCTGTCCTGTTGTCTTTTATAGTAAATGTAACCATGGAAATCTTTTGTTATTTTATCTTTTTATCTGGTTTTGCACTGTGACCATTTGAATGAACAATGGAAGTGACCTACTACTTGACAATGCTAAAGTGTTCTCTTGTATTATGTCTGTTTCTAAGCTGGGGTTTTCTGCTTGCACCTTGGGATATGAAGGTATTTGGAATGGGAACACCTTTACATCGTTATCATTATCACCAGGTTATGTACAGAATAAATGTTTATGACCTTGTTAATGTGATGCTTGGAAGCCTCCCTGGCCTTGTTGCCCGCCACGATATTAGATTTAGCCGTTAACTTGTCTTTACATTCATAATTTCCTGACAATACCAACATGCATGCCTCTGGAGAAATACGGAGCATGCGCCCTTGCGAAAAAACTCTGCCTGCACGGCTGAATACACCCCTTTTATGCGAACGCACACCAATTCCAGTTAAGTTAACACGGACTCAACTAACCAACATCTTATCCACCTTTGTAGTACTGTTTAACTCTAGTGTAGGCAGTCAGAGTTTCTCAACCCCGAGTTTGCCTGATAACCCTGAGTTAACTCTGAGTAGGTTGAAGTCCCTTTGTAGTACAGGCCACTGGTGTTGTCTGTGCGCATTGTTGTTGACTTCAGTGGCGTACAGCTACCTGCTATTTGCTTATTGCCCTGTAGGCTCATTTGTTCTGAGCTTGGTTATGTCGGTTTAAAAAACTGCATTCTTACCTTAGGTTTGTGACAGTGGTACTGTAACTTGTGTAAATGAACTCCTCTCTCTCTCTTTCTCTCTCTCACTCTCATTAAATGTTTTGTGGAGCCATGCTGCTTGTTGACATGTTAAAAACAGTAGCAAGAGAGAGTATTGTAGTTTTACTGGTATTGTTTTGAAACCATTTTTATGAAATAGTATGGTTAATACATAATTATACAACTCAAAGACACATATTGTTTATTTCAATTAAATCATTATATAGTCTAGTATGACAAATATGTATGCTCTGTGATGTCTGTAATCTTGAGAAGGCTTGTTCCCAGTAAATGTTTTGTTCTTTGCAGTCAGTGCATTCCAACAAATAAAAGCTGTAGTTGTTTTTTTGAGGAAAAGGTCAACTAGTGTATTTGAAGAACAATTGCCTAACGCATACAGATACATAACACATTAAAACAGATTTTTATGGAACTCAAAATGTTAATTGAACTGGTTTTAGTCTTATCAGTCTGTGATTCCATAACTCATATTTTAACGTAGTTTTCAACTAGTCTATATACTGCATAAAAGAATCCAGTTATGGCTTTTGGTTTTAGTGTACCACCGCAGGTTTTTCAGTGGCCCCATCTGGCCATCCCTAGAAAAAAATCGAATGCACCATGAGCATAGTTACAATATGCAACCTTTACCACTAGATACCACTAAAACTTGCACACTGTACCTTTAAATGAACATTATAGTTTTTACATTCATTTATACAAGTTACATCTGATAATTTTCGCCAGAACAAGGATGCTAATGCCATTGTGCCACTATGCTCCTTGTAGCCAGCCTCCTCCTAAGAGCAACACCTTACCCTTATTCTGTTTTACATCTATTTTACTAAAGTTATTGTTTAATACATATTAATATCAATAATCGTGTTTACATAAAGTGTGGCATAGGTTGTGCGGGTGCTGCTGGTGTATCATGGATCCGTCCCTGGTTACTTAATTTAGTTTAACTTAAAATCTCATATGACACAAGCTACAATGCACCAATCACATTTTTCTGTGATGAGCTTATTCAAATGGGTTAAAATCATAGACTAGTACATTAAGTATGTTATCACCAGCTCCAGACAGTGATACTTAAAACAGCATATCTTGGCCAACTAAAAAGTAAGCTGAATGTCTGTGGGCAAGTCATTTAACGTGACCTGACACACAAATCATGGCTGGAGTGTTGTGTGACTCGGTCTGAGCCAGTTTCCCATTTACAGATCCAGGGCTGTGTACAAACACCTGACTTTTTTTCAGCGGACACACAGACAGCCAGCAGAAAGAAGCAAATTCACTGAATTTGACAAAAACACGTGGAGTGCCAAATGTGTGTCACAACTGGAACAATGCAAGACAAACAAGCACAAATACACACACTAAAAATCAGTTGGTGCACATTTAGTTAAATTTATTATTATATTTACTACTATGTCACTACAATGACTGATTGTAATACTTGGATAATCCCATACACACACACACACACACACTAATAATGTTTTAAAAAATAAATAATAATTTAAGTGTTGAATAAAAAGCTTTCAATCATATTTTTCTCATTTTCCTTATTACGTAATGTTACATTTCACCCCAGGGTATGCTACAACTAACACAGACTATAGGGTGAATTGTGACATTTTACTCCTTGTGTCTGAGGCATTTTCTGTCTGTGTTGCAGAGCTACAGTTACACCATTTAATAGCAGGCACATGTTACTAGTTTGTATCACATTCTGAATGGACTTGCTTAAAAGAGCTCCGAGATACAGATAGAAATGTCAAAAATGTTACAACCATCCCCAGTCTCCCCTACTACTGTCAGGATATAGTGACAGTTTTAGTAAATATAACAACAAGTTGTTTTAAAAGAATTCCTTACTTCTGCTTTAAGCCCTTTACTGTATCACTGTGTTACTGTACTATAATACTGTTAAAAATATTTACTGGTATACATAATGGAAATTCCCTTTGGCTAGCTGAACATATTTGTAACCTTTTTTCAAGGAAGAATTGCATAAGATTTGGTAAGGAAGCCATTGCTGGGTCACATGTACTGTTGGACATGTGATACTGGGACTGATAACACATCAGCGTCACCCAAGTCTTGTAAACCAAGATCATCTCAGGATCTACATGTCTCCATTCCAGTAAAACATTTTGTTATTTTCCCCCTTAGGTCACAACAGACACTTGCAATCCTCAAGTACATTTTAAAATATTCAAGAAATATGTCAGCCCTGATAAGATTTGTTGCTTTGTAAAGTCTTACAGACATAATAAAATCAATCAAACAAAACTGTGCCTCTAAACTTACTGAAACAAGAAAAGCCTGTATCGATAAAGAGCTGAGAATTATATAAGAAGTGAGTATATTTTAAAAAAGAGGAGACTTTTAGGGATTAGAGAATTGTGGTTTGTCGTATACAGATAACATTTTAGTCCTGGGCCAGACAGATGAATGTGAGAATGAGGAGCTGGCAGCCATATATAATGATGACAGCACTTGGACTGAGGAGCGGGTCATGTGGAAAAAAGGCAGCGGTCAGCTCTCAGGGGACGTGAGAGTTACCAAGAGCGTGACTATAGCTATCAGTAGCAGAGAGGGCAACAGAGAGGGCTATTAGCCAACGGAGGTCAGGAACTCCACAGAGGGAAGGTAGCACTGATGATTCCTGCCTGCCTGCTGTGCTCAATTTTTAATGACACCTGGCCCTAGAATAAATGTGGAACAGCAGTGCTGGTTTTGACCTGCTTGCCATCACTGAAAAACCCTTAATAATCCTTCCTGGGTGAAATCAGTGAGGGAAAACTGTACAAAAATGTAGAGCTGCAGAGACCCCTACTGTATGTTCTTTCAAATAGGACAATTTGATCCCTGTTAGGAGCTACAATTACAAGCTGAAATCTGTTAAATGTTGGACATAGCTGACAGTGATAAATCTGAGTACCTGTACAATAACATAATAAAACTATACAGGAGGTTCTGACATGCAGAATGATAACAACACAATAAACACAGTATTTGCTTCACCATATATGTGACATTAAACTGGGTGATTGTAGCTTCAATTATATATTGGTCCTGGACAAGGAGGTGACTATGGAAACAGAAATCGGAACTATAAGAAACCTGAGAGTGCAGGTGTGATGTGCCTTTCGTTAATATTAGACAAGTAGCACACAGGTGAAGCCTCTCTCTGTGTGCAGACTGCTCTTCCCATTATCTCATTATGGACCTGCCATCTTTATTGTTTTTTATATTGTTGGAAGTCCTGGCCGTAAATTGTAAGTAAGCTTTTTTATCTTGAATTTACAGTTTATTTATGTATGCATGAATCAGCTTTAAGTACAGTTAATCCTCTTGATTACAATGACAGGTAAAGTTATGATGAATCCTGAAAAACAATATACTCACAGTTTTGGGTTCATAAATTGAATGTGTATTTACATTGGCTGTATGAATGTGATATGTTATGACAGCATCCCTTTTTAAAATATCCCTTTTAGCTGCAATCTGTGGCACTTTCAGATGTGATGTTCCCCTGAGAAGGTCTTTTGACAAAAAAGTGTGACTCAGAGCAATTTTTATCTGGGCATGACTGAGGTAGCAGAGTCATAGGAAAAAGAGGAGAATAGGCATTACTGTTTTATTTGTTTTTCAATATTTGTAAGATCTAGTCATATTTGTTTTGTAATGACACTTCGGTGATGAAAGGCTGTGTACTGCAAATACACCTGATTGTAGTTTGTTGAATTTGCTGACTGTGTACATTTTAAAGCTTCTTTTTAAACTTTAGTACAA